GAGGAGGGGCTGGCCCGTTGTTTAGTAAAAAAGGGGTTCCCTGAAAGCTTGGTGTTTTCAGTGACGTGCAAACAGAGGCTTTAAAGTGTAGGTTCTGCGGCACAGAAAGAGCCAAGGAGCCGAAGCAGCTCGGGCTGTGCATCGTGCGTGCGCTGCTGCTGCTGGGGCTGGGGCTGAAAGGCGCGCTGTAGCGCTGATAAAATGTAATAAAGTTGTCAGTTTTAAAAATCAAAAAGTGCAAACGGTGGAATAGTGAAAGAGAACGACGGTTGCTGAGTAATTGTTTTGTGTAGGAGTCTGAGAACCGCTCCCCGTTCCTCCCCCGTGCTGTCCCGTATCACTTCACAGTGATGCTCTTTCCCAAGCACTAACGGGATCTGAATCTGCTGAAGATGCAGCATTATGATTCATCCAGGTTATCGCGCTGAGGTTGTCACCAACCGCTTGGACATGAAGGACTGTGATTTTGTGTTGGGTGTTCTTGTTCTCACAGCTTCAGGGTGCAGAGGTTCGATGTTGCAAGTGACATCTGCAAAGTTACCTTCTCTGTCTGCATGATGCTCATTCAGGTCTAGGGTGTGATTGCAGAAGTAGGAGGCATGGTTAGTATAGCTGGTGTTTCCTTTCATTCTAGCATCCACGCTCAATATGTTTAGATTCATGTAACAGGATGTGACACAGAAAGATATATTGAATAAAACAGAATTGTCATTCTGTGGTTTTAAATGGCCAAAATTATGTGATGCACAATAATGGTTTCAGCACCAAAAACACACTGTAATACTTTGTTGAGTTTATGGTATGCTGAGGTTGCTTCTGTAATGTAATAATGTGCATAATGTAATTATGCATCTGCTTTGACAATTCAATTATACAAAAATTATTTCGTATGTCTTATTAATGAGGCATGCTTCAAAAGATCAAAGATGAAGTTTTAAAAGCTTACTTTTGAAAGTCATACCAGTGAAAAACACATATGTGAACCAGATGGTAATCGATGTATATATCGGCTAACCCTAATTAGTCTGTAATGTTTTATATTAGTATGCAAAACTACTTGTCTCTTATATGAAATTCTGGAACCTTTTAAAGTTCAATTTATGGTTGCAACCGAAATCTTCAATACTGAATGCCAGTGCTGAGAATATGGGCAATGGAAAACATATTCAGACACACAGCTAGGCTTACAGTCTCTTACTTTTCTTCCACTTAATGTTATCTGAAAATTTGTGGAGGCTTCTATAGCTCCCTTTAATTAAGAAAGGAGGAGTTGTGTGAGATGGCTTTTGTGAGACTGTTTTTGCTTTGCTGGCCTGCAGAGGGTGGTGCTCACTATCTATTCCTTGAGTGGCACAACAGCGGCTGGTATCTTACCTGCCTGAAAATTAAAAACTAGTGCCCTTCTCCTCACACCCCAACTATTTTGCGTTACGTATTGGAATGTGTCCTCATATTGCAGAGACACTGATTAGCAGAAATATCATTATAAATGAGTGTCATTGAATTTTAACTTATACAGTCTCTGTAATTATATCGATAGCTCAGCTACTCCTTTGGAGAGGATTTGCACCTTTAAAATAATTAATCATGTATACAGATCCTACTCAGCAACATGGGGCATGAGGTAGAGATGGCAGGTTTTTCCTAAATCTAAGTACTTGCTTCTACAGGTAAATAAATTAAGGTTGTGTTTAAAATATCAGCATTTTGCTTTGTTAGATTCTTAACTTTTTTGGTTTGAGGTATTAGTCAGGATTTTTCTGTATAAGTGACTGAAAATTTTACACAGTTTTGAAGATTAATGTATCTTCTTCTATCTATAGATTTGGGTTTTACTTTGAGGGAAAGCCTGAAACCCCAGAAGAATTATGTCCTTTACTGTCAATCCTGTGGTGACATCATAGTAAAAGACCGGTGAGTACTGCAGTGTCTTGTATTTATAGCCATAAATGCCCTGGTGATGGGTATTCATGTTATTTTGTGTACTTAGAGAGACAGCTAAAAGGTATTTATTTTGAAATTGATAGATGAGGACACTTTTGGAGCACTACGGATGACTAAAAGCAAAATTACCTGAAACAGTTTTTCACTGTTTATTCATTTACTTCTTGATTTCATTCTGGCTGGAAGGTAGAAATGCCTTACAAAGGGAGTTTTGTGCATTGCCGTGGAAGCTGGGAAATCTGGAATCTTTTCCTGCTTGTCTGCTATGCTTTGAGCAAGACATTTCGTTTTGCAGCTGACTTCCTTGTGTGTAAAATTTCTGCTTTGAGATCTATGACTTTTTGTCCATAGAGAATCTCTTTGCACTCGTCATAATAGCTTCTGGTTTTGCTGTACAAACAAAAAGCTGTAACATTTTGGCCTGGAAATATTGCAGATGTTTGTAGTTTTAATTGATTTTAAAAGTACTTGTAGTCTATTAGTAGCTGACATCTTTGCCATTTTGGAGGGAATACAATGGAAAATTGGAGCCTAGACTTCTTTCTTCCTCTGCGTTTTAGGGGTCCTCTTCAGTTCTGCTCAGTCTCTTACAAATTCCCTTCAGTCATTGTGCCGTAGTTAGAGAGTGGCTGGTCAGAAGGGGGATGTAGATCACCGCTCCCTTTGTTAAGCATCGTCAACCTCCACATAGTTCAGGGATGCTGAATTTGGAAAACACGGGAGCTGTTTCTTACTGCGTGACTTGGCCTTATCTCTGTTCCTTACAAAGTCTGCAGAGTGAATAAGAATTTTAATAAAAAGCTGCTGCATTTTCTGGCTCTTCTGATGAACAATTTTGACAGCTTCAGCCGGGTATATACGAATTGTTAGAGATGCACTTGCAGCCTTTAATAATCTGTGTCACTCCTAATACTCAAAATAGTAATACAAATGTGGTATATTCTGTAAACTCCTGTTACTTTCTTGTCATCCATATGGATTTATGGCCAGCTTGAATATAACTGAATGAGGTTTTCCTGGCAGTCTCTTCTGAAATATCTCATCAGAAAGTCTAGTCATAACTCTTATTTTGATGCATTTGTAAAGTAATGAAGCTTCTAATTTTGAGTCGGTAACATTTGATTTCAAAAGATATTGCGCTTTTATATTTTTGTTTCTGAGTGGGTGTCCTCCTGAATTTCAGTGCATCAAATCCATATGCATGGAGTTTACATCTTTTGGTTCTGCATCCTATGAGGTGACACAGTCAGAATTTTTGAGAAAGGAAAAAGAAGGCGTGTTCATGGCTCTTTGCTTGGCATTTCTCCTTGGAGGGAACATCTGAGACCCCCCGAATGTTATCACTACAAAAAATCAAGACAAAGGTAGAAGCATGGAGCTGGCAGTGTATCCGATGCCTTCTGTTCCAGCACTTACAAAAGGAAGACGGTAGTGTAGTCAGTAACTTCTAGCTACAGATTTCTTGTGTTATTCTGAGAGAGTATGCCAATGGCAGCACAGGTGATGGGGTGGAAGGGAAGTTGCTGAACTGTGTGAGGGGCAACTTATTAAAAAGTGTGAATTACTGGGAAAGGGTCTGTAACAAGAAAAACCTGGGTTCTAGAAAATGATACTTTTAAGAAGAAATTGAAGTAAGTTGAATTTAGTTTAGATAAGACTGTGGACGAGACATAAGAGTCTTCCAATATGTTAGAAGTTTCAGCAAAGAGTATGGCAGTGGTCTTCAGTTGAAGCAAGAGGAATTTAGGATGAAATGAAAAAAAAAAAAATTAAAATTAATTACCTAAGCTTACTCTGTTTCGAGACAGAGAACTGTCTCTGGAAGGAGGTTCAGCCTGACTATACTAGACAATTTCAGAAGGATACAGATTCTCTTAAAGGTGCTAACCTAAGAGTTGTTTGTCTCTGACTGTGGAGGCAGCCTAGGTGGCTATCTTAAAGTAGAAACTCAGTTGTTATTAGGAGCAAGTTTGGGGAGATGACTCTGCCTCTTAGCTTGGTTTTTTCACTGTATTTAGCAGCCTCAAGTTAGTCGGCACTCAGTAAATCTCAAGCTTCTTTTTTGCTGATTTTCCGGAAAGCTACATTTTTATTGGTGTTACAGTTTTCCAATTCTAGTGATCCAGAATACAAGCTCCTTCCTGTGAACGGCAAAAGCCTAAAATATGGCAGAAATGCTGTATGTTCTGAATAACTCAAAAGTTAGGAGTCTGTTCAGAAAATTCTTACTGGTTGGAGCAACTGCTTTTTTTTTGGGCAAAAATTCAAAAACTTGATGCTCTAGACTGTCAGAGGAAAGAAAAGGAAATGTAATGAAACTGGACAGCATTGGTCTGCAGCTGAAGGTAATCTCTGTCTTTTTTCCCCCCTGTATGTAACACTTGAAAAAACATTGCTGAGGAATACCAGCTTTTTGTTGCTGTAGTGTAAAGAGCAATATGTCTTTATGGTAAAGCTGGGTCAGAGGACCAGTTATTCCAACTTTCATCTGCAGGTGGGGCAAGCACAGTTTAAAAGGTGTTGTCGATCTAGGGAAAAAAAAAAAGTTTTATAAAACATTTTACTTTCATCCACTCAACAATACAAAAGGCACAAGAAACTACAAAGGGAAGAACTGGCATCTTCTGAAAAGAATAGTCTGTGAATTGCAGGAAAGGGAGGGTGTCTTAACTGTTAGCTTAACAACTGTGTGTTTATTTGCGAACGAGCACCATAAGCAAAGTTGTATTTGCAAGTTTTAAGTAAGGAGTAGAATCAAGAAACTCTGTGTAAAGGTTTCAGGCAAGAGCAGAAGAAGTTAGGAAACAAAAGGAAAGCATTCAAGGAAACTAGGCAGAGAGCAGAAAGCACAGCTCTGCAACAAACAGTACGTCTGTTGGAGAGGTGCACACTGTTAAAGCCGTTGCCCATTGTTTTGGTAAAGGGGCTGAATTGCTTCCCCGTGCAATAGTTTTCTAGAAAAGACAGATTAAAGAAAGCATAAATATCTGGACAGTATTCACCAACACTTACACCTTCTTAATAAAATCACATGTGGTGGGATAACAGAATGGATGTCTGTGGGAACTGTAGGCAGGAAAATATTGACCACTGATGTGTGGTGGTGAAGATGGTATTTATATAGCCACATGTAGATATTCTAGCTTTAAATGTATAGTTTATAACTTAAAGCAGTGATTCCAAACATTGGCTTATAAAATCTTCTGGCACTGTGTGTAACCAAAGAAAGTAAGTTAAAAAAACCCAACTGATAACCAAAGCAAAGTCTGGTATTCCCTGGAGCAACCTCCTCGGTCCATACAGCTGCCCAGGAGAAAGGGATTTGGGTTGTTTTGTATGTGACTTCTGAAAGTTGAATCTGAATCTAAATTAAGATTATGTTATCCTCTTTTTAAAAAAATGAAATTATACTGAGATATACTGTTGTATTTTTGTCAGGATTTAGCTTTTTCAAAGTCTGATGTCTGACTTTGAGGGGCTTCGAAGGACATGCTCTCCCTTGCCGTGGCAGCAGGCTGTGTCTGTTGTTTTTGTGTCAACATTTGGTGCAAGGGAACTTTACAAGAAGTAATAATAAATATAATTGCAGAATTCCCATTGTTACATTTTTCATGACTGGGTAGAACTGTTTTATTTTTGCCATGTGATTCATTTCAGGAGAGGATTATGCCAAGTTCTGCCTTATAACCATTGGAGATTCACCCTTGGGAAATGCTTCATCACAAACTTGGCAGGAAACACTCAGCCATTGCTTTCTCAGAATTCATCCAAGGAAAGTGCCTTTGACTGAAAGAAGAGTCAAGCACTTGCTTTTGGAGAAAATTCTGTACTCCCCCCCCACTTTTTATAAGGAGTCCAAGCTCTCTTTTGGTGTCTTAGAAAATAATATAATATATTGAAATATTTTTTGCTTCTTCCTTCTTAGGAAATTTCGCAGAGTTCTTCCTCTACCAAGTGAAAACTGGAGTGCTTTAGTTGAAGAGTGGTGTTGTCACCCTAACCCCTTTGCCAGAAGCACTTTGCACCCTCAGCATGATGACTGTTTCCTTGGAGACACTTTTTTTCTGTTGAATTCAGGAAATGAATCACATATGCCTGAATCTCCCATGTGCTGCTCAGAGACTGGACACCAAGCTTCTCAGAGCGGCTCCAACTTGGTAAAGTATTTTGTTGGAGTAATTCTTAAGTGAATGTATTTGGACTTTTTTCCTTGTAAAACACTTTTTTGTCACTGGTTTATTTAACTTCTATGTATTACAGAGCTGTTTTGAAGGTCATAGGGAATTGTTGACATTCAGTTATACAGAAGCCAGAAAATATTCTAGGCTATGATTTGCATTTTGTAAAGCATGCACCATGGTCTTGATGTTGACCTAGATATGCAAGAAGAACTTCTTCCTATAAACTGAATTAGAAACAATTTAATTATGTAGTTCTAAACCCAAATATTTCCCCCCAAATAATCCTGAGTGAAGGATATCAACATTTAGTAAGATAATAACTGTAATAGGTTAGGTGCTTGTCAAAGGACAGTGGAGCAAAGAACAAGGAGGAAACTCGAGTAACAGTGCTTTTTCTTCTCAACCTGTAACTGCATGCATAACCGTAAATGTGATCAAAGGAAGGTGTGATTTTTTTTTCTTAGTTTTAGAAAAACTCGGAAAGATCAGAATGTGTTTTGGATTCAGATGTGGCCGTCTCTTAGAATACAGTAAGGAAATTGAGTTTGTTTGCTCTCTGTCTAGTGAAAGGGACCTGCCACCCCAGGTTATAATTCTTCGTGTTGATGTTTCTGAGATGTTCCAGGAGGGGATTTATCCATCAACTGACTCTCTAGGAAGAGGGCTATCTTTTGGCTTAGAAACATAAAAATTTGTTGTTGCCCAAGAAAAAAAAAACATTTGTAGGGATACTGATGTTTCAATAGTGAGATAGAACCCACGAAGAAGGAAAATTCAGTGCTTTACTAATCTTAGCAATCTAGCACTTGTATAAAAGTTCAAGCAATAATCTTTTCTTCTTCTACCAGAATATCCATGAACTTTGCTTGCCAAAGCCTACATTTCCATAAAGCCTTTTCTGTTAATCTACTGCTTGTCTGTATTTGTGTTGACAAAGGTTGGGCTTGCAGATACCATCTTTTCTTCCAATACCATGTATTAAATCTAATGACTGAAATCCTTCTACAGCTATGGGAACTATTGCTACCTTGGCAACTTGTGTCTGACAGCTGATGACTTGCTGTGTACGGATTCCCAATATGAAACTTTTGATCTGTTGAGAAGTTAACACCAGAGGCCCTGATACCTCTCTGCTGCTGCTGCTTATCATCATTAGGGATTTGTATTATCTTCAGCTAAATCGCCAGGATTCTTGCAGTTCAACAGTTGCTGATACAATGCATCCAGGCAAGCTGTCTGCCTGGGGAACAGATCTGTCCTACGGTCCATATCTGCAAGTCTTGCAGCTGTGGTGCCTTTGATTTCTTGCTCCATTGTTCTTTGAAAAGCAGAATATGGGGAGGGGAAAATAAGAACTGATCCCCTGAAAGGATATCAGCATGGGAGAAGTAGATTAATTTGGATTAACTCTGTGGCAATTGGAGTGATTTCTTCTAAGTATCCTTAAGAAGGAGGCTGAGCAGAAGATTTCAGTTTTCCAAGAGGACAATGCTTTCTGCCAAAGGTCCTCAAAATGAATTATCTCACATTTCAGTAGTCTCAAAAGAGATCTTAGAACAATGGAAACAGAGACAGGAAGAGGCAGGCTGCATGGAGTTCAGATTGCAGCCCAAAGACAGGGGAGCACTCTGGCCAACTCTCTTCTTCCATCAGTCAAAGAGAATATTTGCCAGAAAATTGTTGTTTTTGAGGCAGAAACGTGATAAAACAATGTGGGACAAAGACGCTACTGAGATGTATGTCAAACCAGGAAAAGAGCAGAACCTTTGAATGAGGGACGAAGCTATTTTCTGTCAGAGGCATGCAATAGTAGTTTAGTGTGATGAATTTTAATTTTTGCTTCCTTAAACTCGAGAATTCTTCCCTTCTTTGTGTCAAACCCTCTTTCTACATCTTTCACACTTGCAATGAAAACTCATTTCTGTGTTTGCTTGTTTCCAGCATCACTCAGTTGCCAAGCAAATGAGCAAAACCATAAGATCCAGCAGAAACTAGACTAATAAGGAAAAAAACCCTCATGCCGAAACAGAAAATTCTTCCATAATATGAGTAATAGAAAGTTACAGGCAAGATAGATTGCTGCTGGCATAAATGTTCTTATTTCAGAGAATATTGTTGCAGTCTGCCCCAGTATGAAAGTTCTTTTTTAATTGCATTGCAGTTCTTTGTAAAGTGTGTGCCTATGACCAAAATAGTATCAGGAATGTACCAGAGATGCTTAAACAATCTTTTCCAGCCTCCAGTGGGACTAAGACAGCATCCATGCATTGCAAACATATTTCTCACATCTATTAGTCTTCCAGTGTGAGACAGTTTTTAAATGTCACATGGTCTTGAAGCATCCTAATGGTATCTCTTGGGGAAAATATTTTCCTTGACACCATATCAGGAATCCTTAGGAACAGAAACAGAAAATATTAGGCTGGTGATCCACCTCCATCTGCAGATTGCCAGGAGCTGCAAGTTGTCAAGTAGATTTATTGATTTAATTAGTCTAGCTAAAACTATTGCTTTTCCTGTTGAAGCATGATATGACGAGTTAGTGGTGTTTTTAAGTACCATACTGCACAGTTCTCAGCTAGCACCTGTAATTGTAGTCAGAAAAAAACATTCAAGTTGTGGCTTTCAAGGAACTACGGTATATTATATACTTGTACCATGCAGTATTTGTACAAACATCGAATACTGGTTTTCACAAAACCCAGTCTGCTTATCCTTGCTCTTCATGTCAAGCAAGTAATTTTACTGTATATGTTTGAGCGGAATAGCATGGTAGGAACCAGGGAAGGGATTAACTACATACATGTGAACCAGGTATTTTCTCTGATTTACGTGACAAGGGGGCTGTACTTCCAACATAGTCAGCTCTCTGAAGCTTTAACAGAGGCTGTTGGGCTCTCCGTGGGGCTTTTAGTTTGATTGCTGGTTTGTGAGGAACAAGCAGGACTTCGTGATCATAAGTTCAGATTCTGCGTGAGATGCTTTCTGTTTTTCATGGAGCTAGAGTGGTCCTTTCTGTTCATTTTAGGGTTTGCATAGTACAGATCAGAGAACTCTGTTAGGTATTTCCAGCATGAAATCCATCAGTTCTGTCTGAGCTATTGCTTTCAGAAAGATGTCCAGTATAGATTTAATACTTCAAATGATGGAAGCTTTATCACATTCTTTGGTAAGCTGTTTCAGTGGTTAATCATCCTGACTCAGTTACCTTCTTATTAAATTAAGCACGCTGAGAATTGCAGCTCTGTATCTCTTTTTATCTCTAAGGTGTATTTATTTTCTACAAAGTATTTTTGTAGCAGTTTTCCAAACCATTTTCCAAATTTTAACATACTTTATAGATCCATTCTTGCAGCAGTCATCTCACTAATTCTGAAAATGTTGTATTTTTCTGTTTATCTGTATCAACTATGCAGTTGATACAGAGGTCATATTTGCGCTTTGGTTTATAGCATCTCATTAGTAACTGTGGTTTCGTTAGCTACCATCATCTAAATTCCTTTGACTTTTAGAATCATAGAATCATTTAGGTTGGAAAAGACCTTTAAGATCATCAGGTCCAACAATTAACGTAACACTGCCAAGTCCACCACTAAACCATGTCCCTGTGTGCCATGTCTGCACATCTTTTAAATATCTCCAAGGATGGCGACTTAACTACTTCCCTGGGCAGCCTGTTCCAATGCTTGACAACCCTTTCAGTGAAGAAATTTTTCCTAATATCAAATCTAAACCTTCCCTCTTGCAACTTGAGGCCATTCCCTCTCGTCCTATCACTTGCTACTTGGGAGAAGAGACCGACACCCACCTCACTACAACCCCCTTTCAGGTAGCTGTAGAGGGTGATAAGGAGTGATAAGGTCTCCTTTCAGCCTCCTTTTCTCCAGACTAAACAACCCTCAGCTGCTCCTCATAAGACTTGTTCTCTAGACCCTTCACCAGCTTCGTTGTCCTTCTTTGGAGATTCTCCAGCAGCTCAATGTCTTTCTTGTAGTGAGGGGCCCAAAACTGAACACAGGATTGGAGGTGGAACCTCAGCAGTGCCAAGTAGAGAGGGACGATCACTGCCCTAGCCCTGCTGGCCACACTATTGCTGATAAAAGCCAGGATCCTGTTGGCCTTCTTGGCCACCTGGGCACACTGCTGGCTCATGTTCAGCTGGCTTTTGACCAATACCCCTGTCTTCCACTATGTATTTCTTTATTTTATCGTCACTGGCTTTGTTGTTGCTATTGTTCCTGAACAGATGATCTGTCATTTGACTATATTTTAGTGCAGATTGTTACACTAAGTACAACCTACTTCATGATGCAGACTGGTGTGTACAACTCCTCTGTCTCCCTTGTTTACCCCTTCCATATCATTGTAGCGGGAAGTATTTACACTTTTCTGTAGAGTAGATGAAAAAATGGACCCAATGTATCTATTTGACTTGTGTATAATCTCTTTCATCACCAGTTTAATTACAGACCACATGTCCTTCAAGGCACCTGAATTACAATAAATAAATTAACAAAGCATTATTCAATTTTTTGATTAGGATAGTTGTGCTTGGAAGTCAGTGTAGAACGAAAGTCCACAATCCAGGTTCTGAAGACAGCCTGTTTTGGATTTTTTTCCCCTCAACTAGTTTAATTTGTGCTAAATTTAGATAATATTTTCGTAGCCATGCGCTGCAATATGATTTCTCAAGTTGATAGTGACTTGTTTGGACTTACAAACCAAGCCAATAACACAGTAGTTGTTCAATTACACACAGATATTTTTATGTGCTGTATACTGTTACGAACAATTATAAAGGTGTTTGTACAAAGACCACATGTAAAAATCCAGTTTACATGTCTTCTCATTACATTCTCAGGATTTCTAGCTCCAGAAGGGTTTATTAACTGTGGAGTTGTGCTTGCTTGTATCTTCATACTGATAGGGAATTTAAATATAACCCTGGAATCAGCAGGAGTGTTACTAGGGCAGATCACAGGTTCATCTAGAAATGAGATCTTTTTAATGGATGCATAAGAGTAAGGCAAATATTGAGAGATGTTTTGGCCAGTGTAGAGACTTTTTGAAATAGAGGTTATTATCCACATTTTTTGTTTTTAATAAGCCTTTTATGAACATTGCTTCCCCTGAATTCCTGAAGACATTTTGAACTTATGTATACTTTTAATATGAGAAATATTTCATTCAGTGAGTACAAAGCTATATTATACATTGTGTGACAAATACTTTCCTTTTCTTTGATACAAATCATCTTATAATTTCATAGCCTGGGCTATGAGAGTGAATGTTTTTTTCCTCTTCAGCTTTTCTTAAACATTTGTGATTTTATATATGTCAACGATACCGCTCAGTTTTCTGTCTTTCGTGCTTTCTCCCATTACGTGTGTTTTCTTTCCACGTATGGAAACTGTTTTGCAGCTCTGACCATTATTCTTATTCTTTGTCAATATCTTTTCTGTTTCTACTTGAATTGAAGGAGAGGGGATTGTTCAAGAACAGAATGCACTGCACCTTTCTGGACTATCATGCAAGCAAGTGGAAGTGTAGAAAGCTGAAACAGTGAATGCAAATCTGTGTGTATGTAAACATAAAGAGAACAGAAACAAGTACAAAGTTCACTGTGTACTCTGGAGAGTATGTTAAAATTATACAATCCCTTTTCAGAATAACTTGAGTGACATTTAAATGACATTTCTTTGTCCTACAGAAATCAAACGAAAATACCAGAGTAATTTGTAAGCGCTGCAAGACAACGCTGGGAGAAACAGTATCATCAGGTATGGGATGTACAAACCAAACTAGATTTCGCTGCATCAGCCATTGAGCACTGAAAGTTAAATGCTCTGGAGGGAAGTAGTTTATCAGTAGGGTGCAGGGCTGATTCCTGTGTGTTTGTCGCATTCCCTTCTGGAACAGAGGAGGTTGTTGCTTCCATTGTTAGACCTTGAAAGTGACTAGTGACAGGGATTTTCCTCATCCTTGTTCTGTGGGATATTAATCTAATTCCAAGGCCTTGGAAGACTCAGTGCGTGATTCCAGTTTACTAGGAATCCCAATAAAAAAGGACACCTGAGGAATTACAAGTTGTTTATTTTGCTGTCAGTCCTACAGAATTACAGAAAGGTCAATACTTGATCAACACAGAACTGGAAACTAAAGGGATGATTGCTGACAGCCAGCCTGATTTCATGGAAAGGAAGCCTTGTCAAAGAAGCAAGATACCTCTTGTCATGATTCGACCATGAGATGTGATTATTGGTTTAAAAGCTGTCATTATATTGAATCAGGGGGGTTTACCTGGAGTAGTGTAAAGATGAGCCTCTGATTGTTTTTAAAATGCAGCTATTAACAAGAAGGAAGCAATGGTAAGACTGTTAGTAGCAGTTTATTCTTTCATTCTCCCTCTCCCCCACTGCACTAGTCAGCATGAGCCTGGCTCAGTTCAGAGACATGGAGAATATAAAAACTTCTCAGAAAATACAAAGCCTGTTTAAGAAATAACTCATGAGGAGACACAAGGCAGAAGGTTGGGTCTTCTGTTACAGGAGGGTCTGATTGTCCTGTACAGGGATCTGAACAGTACAGACATTAAAACCAAATTTAAGGTAGGGTGTTTGAAAGCTCAGAATGCAGGTTGTAAGACCTTGGGAAAACTGTGTTTGGAAAAGAGCTTTACAGATCATAATGAATAAATAGATGCCTTAGTCTAAGCCTTCAGCCAACTGTAGCAACCAGTAGTTGATGTGATCACAGTGTATGGGAAAAGGCAAATACTGTGTAGACGTGCAGAGAGTTGGGCTGGACTCTGCATGGCTGAAGTTAGATAGCATGTCTGTTGTTTTACCCTGTTTCTTCAGTACTGCAGGAACTTTACGGAGAGTTCAAAGAACAGATAAAAATAATAACCAGAGATGTAAATGGTATAAGCCTAGACAGAGCCATCTCTGTGAAAAGAGACTAGCGAGCAGTCTTGACTGTCCTGCTTTGGTACTTCCTCATGAGTAGATAGCAGTGCCTTGAAGATAAAGCTGGATTGGAGTGGGGTGGCTGTGGAGGCCAGATTTGGCTGTGAAATTCTCCTGTCAGCTATTCCTTCCCCCAACTCTGTCCCCATATACTCATGCAATTTTTTTCTTGGGAAATCCCACCTTCTGTCTCTCTGCAAGCAAGCATCACCTTAATTCCCAGTGTCCTTGCAGTACTAGCACCAATTCCTTATTCAAGGTCAACAGCTAGGGAGCTAGAGTGACTGAATTGGCTTCTTTTCCTCTTGTCTCCCAGCTCTAGGCACAACATGGAGCAGACTAAAATTAAACTTAGAGCTAAAATATAATTTCCTACCTGTGAGCATAATTTAAAAAGTGTGGTACTATCTGGAGAAGTGGTGGGATACCAAGCCTTTGGAATCTTTAAAACAAATTAAGCATCTTCCTGAAATGCTTTCATCCACTTTTAATGGTGCATGTGGACAGAGATCAGATGAGACAATCCCTTCTGCCCTTAAAATTTATGGAACTGTACTGCTTACCTGTTAAGGCTTAATAGAATTAATTTATTTACTCTATATGCTTAATCTGTTCTGCTGGCCTTCTGGTTAGGCTGTGTTTGTAGTGTGGACCCAGAGCTTCAAGATGATCATCTTTCACCTGACTTTATTGTTAGGGTTTAAATTCTGTACTTAAACACTTCCATTTAGTGTTAAAGGATGTCTTATTGGAGCTTTTAGGGAAGAGTTAATTGAAACTCGGAATGTACGCAGTATTAGTGTTGAGTTAGTGTGATTTTTGGAAAGAAGTTCTATTCTGCAATTTGAGCAAAGAAGAAATTATTCCCCTGTGTGTGCTGTTATTAAAACTGTCTCTTGTGATTCACTGCAGCATTACTGAGCAGCAGAGAATACTAAAATACTTATGTAAGCTGTGCTGATCTCAGTGCTTTAGGAAAGTTCTTTCAATTCATCTTTCAGGTTTGGCTTGAGCTCTTGCTTGCTTTCTTTCAAGATGATTGTTCCCAGCGTTAAGCAAGGATCAATATGAATGACAAATTGCTGATCATGTAATTAGCTCCGAGCAGTTCTCTTCTAGCAATGTATGTTTTCTGTTATTGGTTGCTTCTCCTTGCACAAACCAAAGCAGAACTTGACCATCTGTGCACCTTTTAACTGAGTGCTGAACGGGAGTTTAATTAGGATTAGCGATACGGTGACTTACAGTCTCTTCTTAACAAGTCTGTTGTTCTGGTGTACTTGAAAAAATTTTCTGTCATTTTAGATACCATTAAATATTATGTCACCGAGGTGATTATCCAGCCATCTGAGGGAAGTTTCAGTGCAACACCAAGGTAAAAAGTAAAAATAAAAAAAATTTTAAAACCCAGATAATGTGCTCAGGTTTATGTTTTGGAAAGCATGCTAGAAAAATAGCAAAATTTTAGTTTCTTTAATAATTACTTATAGTAACAAAGTGCAGGTAAATTACATGTAATCATCACAGGATTAAGCACTGTGAAGGTAATGTGATCTGAATTCATTCATGTCCAATTTTGTTTGTATTTGTGTGTGCTTGTGTGTGTGTTTATGATGCAGAAGGAGAGAGCTCCTGTATGATTTGTCACAGCGTCTCACTGTTCAGATGATAAGGCAAAATACAATGCTTCTTTATTTTGAACTATTTAAGCTTGCATGACATCTGGTGACTGTGTAGATAGAAGGTTACAATATATAAGGTTAAATTAAGTAAAGCTTGAAATGATTAACTGGAAGTGAGATTTTTGAATTTTCGAGTAATTCAGTTTGAAGTTGAGACTAAGATGAAACAGAACTTTGGCTATCTTGTCTCATGCCCTATTTATCTGTCACAGTTCTTTTTTTAATTATATTTGAAATATGTATGTTAATTCTTAAACAGGTCTCACTTCCTACAGAGCATGGTTGCTCAGTGTCTTTTGGAATTGTCCTCTGCTAAAAGCACATTTAGATTCACCATAAAAGGGGATGATGGAAAAATCTATATTCTGGTAAGTTTTTTTTTATCTTGAAAAAGTTTAATCTCTGAATCCCAGCTCCTAAAATGTATTATTTATGCTGATCACGATTGTGTGTGCAACAAAAGTTAATGAATTAAAATTCTTGTGTTGAATAGTTCTGTTCAAGTCAGAAATTTCTGCCTGTTTTTAAATCTAAGCACATACAGAAATTTTCTGTATTAATACAGTAGTGAAAGTACTATAAATGCACCACAAGTAGCACAGAAATAACACTGTGTTTTCTGTTCAGAAAATATGGAAAGCCTAAGTTTTGACTTTATAATATATATCTCATCTTCTTGCTCCGGTGCTTCTTATCTTTAATCACCAGAAGTTCAGCACATTGTATAGCATCTTTCACAAATATTGTCTTAAGTCAGCAGAGACTACTAATGTAGTCAGTACATTGTATTGCAAAGTGAAGTGCAAACAAAAATAAAATTGCCTATTATACTTAATGTTCTAATTCTATTAAACTTGGTTAAGCTTGATATTTAAATAGTGACAGCTAAATTCCTCAAACTTCTAAGATGGATAGAAATTTAAATCTGGAGTTATCTTACAACTATGCACTTGGTATAATCTGGGATATTTTATTTTATTCATGAATGAAATATAGACAAAGAATTTGTAATTTTACAGTTTGAGGAATTCATAGAAGATAAGGAAATACATGACTATAGATTCCTGCCCTGGATAAACTTACAGATGTACTTTGTCGAGACAGGCAATCTGATTAAATAAACTGTTTTATATATACATTGTCCAAGTTCTGTAATTTATGAACATCCAGATTCCAGGGTAAGTGTGTATCTGTTGCTTTTAAATAAATTTTAGCTCCAAGATAACATTTGTACAACCACTGAGAAATACTTCCTCTCTGATGATAAAATAAGGTCTCACGAGCACACCCGTAATTGTCACTATGCATAATCTAATTGAGGAGTCATTAAAAATTGTGATTTTTCCCTTGTAGCTTACATATTTCCAAGTTACCTGATGCTTAAGCTTAGAAGCTTATGGAGAATTAAATTGTTATTTTCTAACAGAAAAATCAACTTACTTAGCAGATTGACATTACTCCTATCTCCAAGTTGCATTTTTGCCAGTGTATTGATTACAGGAGCAGGCTGAGTTAGCATAGGGACTAGCTTCTGATTGGCATCCCTTCCATTTTGTTAGTGAGTTATTAGTATTTTTTTGTGATTAACATCAGAAAACCCTTACTCGTGTCCAGGGTGAGGTTCTAGGTGCTGTACACACACCAAGAGGTGTTCTGGAATCATGGGTCAAGTGACCTGGTAGCTGATTTGGCATGGACCAGCTGTCCCACTTGTTTGTTTTGACAATGGGCCGAACATTCTCATTTGCGGTGTTTGTGATTACATACCTGAATGCACACAGCTTAGGCTGCGTGTGTGATAATTAAGTTTAAAGGCTCTCACAAGTCTTTTTAATTTTTTTTTTAAACCACAAATATTATGTATAACTATTTTCCTGATTTCCTTTGCATGTATCACTTAACATTACATTATCTGTGTATATCATCATTTGAGTTTCTGTCATTTAAGTTGGTGATAACCAAATTCCTGAAAGCTATATACTTCTTAATGTTCTTTTTTAAAAGGCTGATAATAAATAAAAGTCTCTTTGTCTCAGAAAAGAAAAAAAAGTGGCTTATACAGATTTCCTTACATATTTTACCTATATCTGCCCTCTCCACGTTCTCTAAAAGATTAATCACAGCATCGCAGGAGGCTCCTTTACAAGGAGGTGTTAATAATTTCAGAAGGAAGGAACTCTGTTTAGTCAAAGCTAAGCATGTTGGGAGTGGCCTGTGTGTATAGGACACTTCTCTTCTTTTCCCATTTTCTCCAACACCTCTTCAACACTTGGCTTAAGGCACCGTGTGTAATGGTCCTAGCTAATGAGGGGTATTTTGCAGTTTCGGCTATGAATGTGTGCAGTGAGTTACCAGAGCAAAACCGATGAGCTGCCACTTGCTAAGCCGAGTGCAGTTGCTTGTCATCATTTATGTGCATATGCTAAAGTGATTCTCCTCCTCCCAAGACATCTTTATCAATATATCTCATTCCTCCTTTATGGAGCTTCCCCTGTAGTGTTCTGAACCTTGGGCTCTGATAAATTGCGACTGTCACGTTCAATTACGACATACACTGTGTGTCCCGTTAGCAGGGGCTTCCTCCCTCCGTAGGGGATATCATATGTCTGCTCCCTAACATCGTGTAACTTGTTTTACTTGAAGCTGATTAGGTCATGAGAAGCAAAAGATTACTCTCTAGTGAGCGGCGCTGCATGAATCCTGTTTTCTATGATAAATATTTCATGTATAAGCATTTCATACAGGCTCAAGACTTGTAAAAATTGATTTCCATTAGTAACTCGGATCACCTCACTGCTGCAGGCTATGGATAAAGGAAAAGCCTGACTTTTTTGTACAGTGCTTAGCATGAAAGCCCTGAGTCCAAGTTGGAACACTGATGCACAGTCACACAAAGATTGAATAAGATATATAATGTGATGCAAAAAGTTCAGATTTCTCAAAACTCTCCCCAGTAAGTGTCCTGTGAATTGCTGTGAGCAACTAGTGCTGAAGAATGCCAGTCCCACTATGAGATTTGATGAAGATTTATTTTCCAAGTAAGGGTCTGTTCCAGCCATTTGTAAACCCCAGCCTTCCTTTTAGACCACATTCATTGTTGCCTTTTTCCTTGCAAGTCTTAACTCTATCCTGTCATAACTATCATGTTTTTTTTCTAAAAATCCTTCATTTTTGGCACTTCCAAGTGGGCATTCTTTCAGTTCCTTGTCTTTAGCCCTCAATTGTTCAACATCAGATGCTCAACTAATTCCTAAAAACTATAAAATCAGAGAAATAATCCATTTGGTACTGCAACAGACCACTTGGGATTGTTTCTTTTGTCACTATGAAAGGGAATGTGCTGCAGCCACAAAAAGAGGCAACTTCACAGAATTAATGATCTTAAGAGTGACTGATAAATCAGGCATCACTTTATTGTATGAACCCATTTTTCTCCACCAGAGGCTGTGAAGACTGTGCTGAATAATAAAATGTCAATTTACGTCTGTTAACACTTTGTTAGAAACTTTGTGAGAATGTGGCTTTAGTAACAGCTAATTTAGGATCAGAGTAAAGGAACAAATTGAAATTAATGTCATCTTCAGTAAAATAAATGATTTCTTCATTTACAGATTTGGCTTTTAAATTCTGACACGTTGCTGGTGGAGTCTTTAGGAAGTTTCTCCTCCCACAGTGTTTTTACACTGTTTGGAGATATTTTCATGCCTAGCTCTGGACCAGTGGGGACCTGGGATGCTGTCAAAGTCCTTTACCAGCCGTGCATTAGGAGCAGGAATAAGGAGTAAGTATCGCCTTTTCTGACCTCAGGTTCTGATCTTTGATTTGTTTTGCTTTTCAAGGCAACAATATATCTTTGAGGTTCTTTGTCCAGTCTATTCATGTTAGAGGCATATCTTTGAAAATGCTTACAAATTTTTATTTATTTATTATTTATTTATTAATTTTTTTTTTAGCAAAATGCTAGAGTAATAGTATTTGATTTCTGTTAAAGAGAGAATCTGGTGGTTACATTTTTGCACATGTAGACCAGAGTAGAGCATACGTAGATACCTTAGGTATATGGTACAAATAGAAGTTGTCTCCCTTATACAGGAGAGCAATCCACTTTTTCATATATCTGTTTTTCACCTGTGTTAACTCACTGTGCACTTGTAGAGCTTGGTCGTTTTTCCAGGTCTGTTGTCAGAAGCTGGAGGAGTGGTGGTGCCGTGGCTGCGGCAGAGGGGCTGTGAGTTCTGTCCGTACAGTCTCAGAACATGGTGCTCTGCAGCTGTAGCTTCAGGTGGTGTAATTTCAGGGAGGAGGAAAAATTGCAGGGAGATAAGGAGCATGGGCTGACGCCTGAATGATGTGTAAAGTTTAGCCAAGTCTCCCTCTTTATCATCAATTTCTCTGCTTTGTGTGAAAATCTGCTCTCAGCTGTAGAGTTGCGGGAGTTACCCTCTCTGCACTCCCACGGTGAAAATGTGGATCTCTTTGGTACAGCTGAAACCAAGAGGGTAGTTATTAGTTTAGTAAATTACACCTGCCTGTTCCAGCTTCAGTCTTGACCTTTTTTGCCTTAAAATTATGCTTTGTTTTCCGAGAGATAGAACTGTTCACAGGACTGGAATTTGTCTGTTTAAGCCCAGTTATCTTCAGTACTACAGGTGTTGTCTGGTGGGTCACAGTAGATTAGTGTAATGATCATATCTGTATACACGGACAATGCATCTAACAGTGTCTCTGTTAAGATACTTGTGCATGAAGCGTAGCAGAATAATGTGAATAATGCTGTATCAGTGTAGCATGCTCTCAGCATATAGCGTATCCTCAACAGGAAAGTCCTTTTTAGATATGATTCAGAAGTTCATTGAGTTATCAAATTAGCCTCTCTGTGTTAAACCCTAACTTGCTTTCAGCTCAGTGATGGCATTATTTCAGAAAGGAATGGGGCCCTGAGAGAAGGGAAAAGAGAAGAGGTGAGAGAGGTGGTTGAGTACAGTGCCATATCAATGCTTTTCTTGGATGTGTCCAAGACTACTGGAGCTCTCATAAAGGACACATTTGATTTCAGCAAGCTTTAAAGTCTACATTGTGAAAAACATACACTGCCTAACGTGTTAAAGCCTTTATCTGTTGGAGAGCAAGGAATAGAGAATATTGATTAAGCAGTGGCTCCAGTGTTTGCAGGCGAGGGAGTATAATTTTAGCATAATTTTCTGCTTTTGTTTCTTCAGTGATAGAAGAGAAAGCATTGTTTTTGTTGAAGTCACAATTAAATAGTGTTTGGGTTTTTTTTTGTTTCTCCTTTAAACTCTTGGAAATTAGATGACAGATTTAAAGAGGTACAGATGTATTTGAAATTTAGGAGACATTCCCTCCAGACTCAGTCAGTACACAACTGATTTATAGCCCAAGACCTCATAAAAGCACAACAAAAATGTTGTCTCCCACAGACAAACAAACGTGCGTATGAATTAAAATGTTTTCATAGGAGAAATATACACCTTACAAGAGTGTGTGATTCATCACAGTGTTTATCCTGAATGTTGCCAAGTGTATCCTTTTTATTTTTCAAACAGATCCAATATTGAATAGCTGAAATAAACTCTGACATGGGGAGAGAATGCAAAATTATAATACTCAGAGAAAAAGTCATACTACATTATTATGTTATTCATGTAATAGAAAAAATTGCCTATATTAATATAGTAGCTTTGGAAGTGGGCATTGGAAAACCTCTGTGATCTAAATGTTATTTAGTGACCCAAAGTACAACTTAAAGTATTATAATTTCAACTCCTTATTCTTTGAATGGGGGATATTACAAGAACCACTACCACTCTTAAGTCTTACAGAAGTGTGACTTACAGTTTTGGTTTTCAAGTTTCAGTTCTTTATCACCAAGAAGATTTAATTACCTTAATACACGGTCAGTTCCTTTGACAAGTTCTTGAGATAAAAGTCACATCTACTTAGTCACTTACCTAGTGTTCACAAATGCTTTTCTGGAATGGAATTCTCAGCAGCAGAATTTTACTGTGGGATTGTATTCGGTTCTTTCCATTTCTCCAGACAGACTTGCTACAAATCATTTTTTCCTGAAGATTACTTTGTATTTATCTCAGAGATTTTGAAGTGAGCACAACTGAGCACAACTGAGGTTTCAATTCTTCTCTGACAGTAATTGTCATCTTCCCCATCCAGTCCCTGGACAGATGCAAAAATGGAAGAGGAAGAACAGAGGACTCTTCTTGAAGTTCAGAAACCAAAGTAACTATTGGTTTAGTACTGTGTTACGATTTTCATGTTTCTAGTAAAGAACAGTTAAAAGGACATTAACACTTCAATCTGTTTCCACTAGATCATTTGTCAGTTGGCTTGAAGTACTGCCTGGATCTATGCAATAAGACTGACGTCCTTCTGTGTTGAACAGTAATGTAAACACAGCAGAAGCAAAAATATATGAGGAGCAGTACAACTTATTTAATGCAATATGTTTGCATTTAGATCTCAAATATTATTTCAAGAATTCTGAACAAAGTGTCTGATTTCTTGAATAGTGAAAGTTCCAAATGTTTTAGATGCCCGCATTCTGATAGTAATGATAACACTTACCTTGATTGTTTTTGCACACACACCTGCCTTTGAAATAATGTAAAGATTTGAGGTGAGTGGGGAGTAAGCAAGGATAGCTCCTGTGTAGGAGGTGGTCAGCAGGAGGCCTGCTTGTGACCTAGACATCAACAGTTGCAAGGGATGAGTGTGCACCGTGAGATCCTGTTGCGTGTCAGAGAGCCTCTTCAGTTGTTGCAAGTCCCTGAGGACGCTTGGGTCCTGTCCGATTCCTGCAGTGCCAGAAGCTGAGCTTTGTGATATGAGGGGAAGCACCTCTCTTACCTGTGGACACTGCAGAGGCTGGGATGGGTAGCTGGGCCGTAGGCTAAGGCAGATTAAGGTAAACTAGAAGTGAAAGCATTTATTTGTAGTATCTGGATGTAATAACATAATCACACATTGGTGAAATATGGGTAAAGAAATAAAAGCAAATTTGTACTTAATCTACTTACACAAGCATCAGTCTACTTACTCTGAGATAAATACATGATTCCACGGTAGCAATTGAGGTCTCGGGCTTTCTGAAATTCTGCCTTGGCAAGCTTCCTCTGCTAGAAAGAGCATAACTAGGATTCTCTAATAATGCACATTCAGGCACCCCCTTTTTCAAAGAACCCTTAGGTTCAGATTCCTTGGGATGCACTTGAATATTTCTCTTGGGGGGAGCATAGTAGCTTTTATATCTGATCTGTCTTTTCAAGACTTCTAGGATGTCAGGAGAAATTTATGGTCTCACTCCAAAATTAATTTTATTCCTTCTTTATTCAGAGCACAGTTTTACAATTATTCATAATTAACATAATGCTTAATTCTCTTGCTCAGATATGGAATGTTTTTTTCCTCCCCTGAAGCTGGGAATTATGTCCTGTGAATAGCACCATGCTTCTATGAGCAACAGAACGCTCTTTCTTTCCTCCAATAAATCACTGGTGTATCTATCACTGTACCTTACATTTGGTATTATTTGAAATGTTAAAAATGCAAGGGAAAGAAGCATGTAAGTAGGATGAATGTTGGTGGTTCATTACTGACTGCTGAGTGATACCAGCCACGATGATAATTAGGATGAACGTTGCTGAGAATGTGATTATCCCTGGTGCGGCGTCTACCTTTTTATCAACAATGTGTTGATTCATGTTCAATTTGTTGATCTATGTTGACCATCAGATCCTTCCTCGTTAGATTGCAGTCTAACAGGCAGCCTTCCTCTCTGTTTTCATGCCCTTGTCCTTTGTCAAATTACATCCTGATTTTGTTCAGAACCTTTTTCCCTGTTGGTCATGGCCATTTTGATTTCTGACATGTGGTGTGCTGATGGCCCTTCCCAGCTTCATGTCATCTGTGAATGAAAGAAGCATCTCTCTTCTTCCAGTCTCTGTGAGAGCAACAGAGATACGGAATAGGACCAAATGAAGAACGTGTCATGTGGATTCCCTCTCCATATATCTTTGTTTTGGCAATGGGTGCCTTCAAGGCGCTGTGAAGTTAACACATGGTTAGGGCTATCCAGACATGCTATTTATAGTGTAGCTCTTGGCATTTTCTCCTTGCAGAGATCTTCCTGAGGGTAGCCTTTAAGTGTTGTATTGCTTTGTATCTTGCTCCTTCAGCTGTTAAACAGGGCTAGAAGCACTTAGGTGTGTCCTGTGTGTATAGCAGGAATTCTGGGCAGGTCTGTCTATAGTTAGGCTGCCAGCCCTTGTGGGAGCTGTATGGGCAATCCTTCTACAACAAATTAGTTGAAATTATATGCTGTCATTTCTTCTTGCCACCTGTGAAAAAAGTATGTTCTGAGTTTAGTTGAGTCCCATTAGAGAAGGATGCCTCATGCATTTTCTGCTCCATTCTTACGTAGATATTTATGGATTATGTGTATGTGATTATGTTGGTTCCTTCCACTTTTCTCTCAGCAAGGCTCCTTTTCTCCACCTACAAATCAGCTGGGCAGACAGAAGAGGTCTTCAAGTACCAGGTTCTTGGCAAATAACACCTTCTGCAATAACCTTGACTGCTGGGGGTGATAACGGTAAATACTGCTGAAGTGAGTGTGTTGTAAAAATGTATGAAGAAAATTGAAAATGTTGATGGCAATTCAACCATAACTTGATCTCAGAAAATGTATATGAAGTTACAGTTAGAGGAAAATTACACTTTTCCCTTTAGAGTAGTGTGGTAGGCAAA